AATTAAGATTAAGAAAAACAAAATGAATTACTTGAAATTAAGTAATTGATAAGGATAATTTTATAACTTTTATTTAAAATGTTGATTCTCCACTTAAAAGTTTTGTTTTTCAGATTCAAGGACATTTCCTTTCATAAGCTATAGTTTGCAATAATTTGGTGAAGCATACTTTTGTGAACACAAGTGGAAACATTTGCCTTTCCCCTACTTGAATCCTCCAGAATGACACTATTTGTCAGCATTCTTATTTTATTTCTGTAAGTTCAGTAAAAAATCTGCTCTCTTTTATAAGCAGGATACTGTTGGAAATACTGATTATATTACTAGGCTTTGGCTGAAAAGTCATATTTAAGAAGGTTCATAAAATGCCTGGCTTCAAGACTTCCAAGCTTTACACTGAATGCATAAAACTTGTCACTTCCCAGTAGGCCCAGGGACCTTAAGACCCTAAGTAAAATCTAAATTCTACCTTCATTTGGCTTCCTAGTCTCTAGAGGTTCTAAAACCTGAAAGTTTCTGTATAATTAATGTGGAGAGAAAACGTCATGTTCTTAAAGAAAACTAAAGTGCACCTATTAATAGGTTAAAGCCCTGTGTGCTGTTTTCAAACGCTGGTTTTCTACCTGTAGACTGGACTGGATCCTGAGTTCTCCTGATTTCCTACAATATCTGGCTACAATTAAATCCTGATAAAGTTTACCAGCCCTCTTCCCTCAAGCAAAACCATAGAGCCTCTCGGGATATTTCCCTTACTCAAATTACTCAACTAGGGGAATCAGGTATTAAGATTGGAAAAACTCATCAGAGCTCTGGTCAACACTGTGGCTACTCTGTCTGTCCTTAACCATAGCATGCTTTTCATGGACCCGCCTCGGAGTTCTAAATTCATCCAGATGGTTGGGTTAGGCAGCCCACCTATGATGGTTCCTAATCTTTATCTATTATTTTCCAACAAGGACCCTTCAATGGCAGTTTTTCCTTTGTGCTTTCACATACTTCCTAGGACAGAAGTTCTTAGAAAGATGCCAGGCCCATATTTTATTATCCTAGAAAGAAGAAATGATGCTTGAGTTATCCTCACCAGGATATTTTGCCACAGAAATACCTTTTATCCAAATTCCCATCTATTCAGTTAGCTCCACCAACACTACCTACCCTGTTCTCTAAGAGCTACAATCCAACACTCATGATAACCCCTCAGATTATGAAGATAATAGTTGTGGATACTCTCAAGGATATAATTCATCTAGAAGGGTTAACCCTAGTGAAGGAGCTAGGTTAGGAAGATTTCTTGGTTCCCAATTTAAACTAGATTCTGCTCCAAATTAATAAATGATCAGAAAACCTTCCTGAACTGTTCACAGAATTGCCTGCTCCACCATCCAAGCTATTAGGGTGCAGCAGAGGTCCATAGACTCCCTTGCTCATGTAGCCCTAGACAAACACATTGCTTTAGACTGACTCCTCCCTGCACAGAGTGAAGTTTGTGCTGTTGCTACCACTTTCTGCAGGGCAAATACTTCCAGGCAGGTTGAATTGGAAACATCTAAGATCTTAAGGCTAGCCAAATATCTGGAGAGAAAAAAAAAGAAAAAAAAAAAAGACCCTTCAAAAAGCCTCCTGGCTGGACTTACCAGGTTGAGTTTCTGATTTCCAGATATTTCCACCTGGCTTCCCCTGCAGTAAGGTTCCTTCTGCATGCCACCCTACAAGTCTTGATCCTCCTCATGTTTGAGCTAAGTATTTGGCTCCTCTTTAAGATTTCCCCAGCCTATTTTAACAGATGCCTGCAATAGACCCCCACTAGGATCATGCTGACCTAACCCTTGAGACTTCAAAATTGCTCCAGCCAGAAAGGAGAACCAACTTAACCCAAAAGAGTTTGATTAAAATTTAATAGGTACCTATATGCCTCTCATAAGTAAGTGGCTGTAGTTGCTCAGTTAGCCACTGCCCTGCCACTAGGGTCCCTGTGCAGGGCTACATACACCCAGAGAAGACAGCCCACCAATCCAGCACCATGACAGGCCAAAACCAGCCTAACCTATCATCGCTATCTGCCTAAAGGTTTTGATCCGGATGGGGGAAATGTGAACGAATGTGAACCAAAATGAACCAATTCTTCAAAATGAATCTGATATTTATGAAACTGAGCTGATATTTACAATAGAGCCAAGCAGCTATTTGCTGACTAGAGGTCACACATGGACTCTCAATTCCCCCAAAACCTGCAACCTTTGAACTTTGGAGTGTTCAGACCTCACCTAAATCAATCAGTCAGGGCTGGGCTGTATCAAGCAGTGAGGATTTGTCTGTGTTGACCAATCAGAACTCAGCTGCATTGAGCAATCAGAACTAAACAACTTGTTAACATAAACATAAACATACCTGAGTGGGAAATTTCGCTATAAAACTGTGATATTCCCTTTATTTTCTGGAAGGTACTTTCATTTTATATCAAACGCTGTGTCTCCCCAGTTTGCAAACTGTTCATTAGAATAAAGTCTCTTTCCTCCTAATTTGTTTTCAAAGAACTTTTATTCACAGTCTGAAGAACAAATGCATAGGTTTTAGTTGTCTATGGAGGCCTTCAATTGACATGTATGGCTATAAAATCTGTACCTGTGGCATGAAGTCATCTCCCTTATATAATTCAATGTGTTTCAAAGAAAGTCTGCCCCTCCTGAATGTTCCACTTAGATGTATGAGGAAAGAGAACCAATGGAGGAAAAAGTGTATGTTAAAAGAATACCAACATAACTGTTGGATTTTATGACCTCATTGGCAGCAGGGACTCTGACTTATTTATTTCATCTATATTTTGGTTATATTTATTGCTTTTATCTGATACATAGGAGACTCTCAATAAATATGTGGAAGGAAGGGAAGAAAAGAAGTAAAGAAAGCATGTCTGAATAAATAAATGAATGAATGAAATAGTAAGTGAATTTAAAAAACTGAACTAAATAGTATAGATCTAGGAAGCAATAATAAAATCATGTGATGATAATAAGCAATTACTGAGCAGTGTTGCAAGTGCTTAAATCCCAGCTCCAATCTTTTCTCCTGTGTGTTGTAAGTTTCATCCTCTGTAAACTAAGGTAGTACATGCAAAGTATAAGACAATGCCTGACGCACAATAATATATTCATGCAAAATATTTCTCATATGAGGCAAGCACTACTCTCACTGCTTACTATGCATTATATTACTTATTTTTTAACAGGCCTAGTGTAAGTTAGAGATTCTTATCTGTATTTTCCAGATGTACTTGCAAGATCAAGCAAGTAAAGACATTTATCCAAAATTATACAATATTGGCAGGAGGAACCTGCCTGGTTAAACCAGGTAGGATTCAACTCTTACAATATTTCGCTTCAAAAATCCTGTGTGGGTACCCTCTGTGCTACCTAACATTGATTTGAAATGTAAACTGACTTAGTTCTCACTTCTTCATAAACACGTGATTATGACCTAGCAAAAAGTATTTTTCAATTGGGTAAGACCATGGTATGAGAGTTTAAGAAACTTTGGGCTAAGATTTCAAGGACCTGAGACATACCTACTGTTACATATTTGGTAATCATTAAACATGCAATTTTGTAGATATTAAATTAAATATGCTTAATGTTTTCTTTTAAGTAAAATAAGTCATTTTTGTTTCTATTCAGAATATGATAGTATCAGAATAACAAGAATAATCTGTTTCTGTTCAGAATATGACACTATCCGAGTAACAAATTAGGGTTAGGATAACAACACTTAAAGTTTGCCAGACACTATTTTGTGAATTCTTCACAAAAATAAGCCTTTTCTCTCTGCACAAAAATTGCATGAGATATGTGGTTTTGCTGATGAAGAAATGGAAATCCAGAGACATAAAGTTGCTTATTCAAAGTCACCCAGCTACATTGTGGCTCTGGCAGTTCAGCTACTGGACCTCTTCCAACTTTCTACAGGTGTCACGGAAGCACAAGATCACATGTTTACACACAATTCTTATGAAAAAGCACTAAAAGGAAGGTTTCAGTAAAAAGGTAAACAAGGCTTTCAAAAAAATGGTAAAGATAAATAAATGATGAGTCACAGTAATTCTCACCAATTAGGAAGCATCTTAGAAAAGCATTGGATTTCCTCTAACCAAAAATGTCTATCAAAAGTGATATTGAAATACAGGAAGATGTAAATATCTAAATTTTAACACTGTCACCTTGCATAAATGAGGCTGGATAGCTAATGAAGTAGTAAGGCCTAAATTCAATTTGGTTCCATGCCTTTTCACTGTCATCTGAAAGGGGTCTTGAGATGAATGATCCTGGACTCATCCTCCACCAGCCAATCAGTCTGTTTATTATCTGGCTTTAAAAAGAAACTTTTCCAACCAGGTGCGGTGGCTCACGCCTGTAATCCCAGCACTTGGGAGGTCGAGGCGGGCAGATCGGAAGGTCAGGAGTTCAAGACCAGCCTGGCCAACATGATGAAACCCCAACTCTACTAAAAAAATAAAAATTTAAATAAAAATAAATTAGCTATGCATGGTGGCACATGCCTGTAATCCCAGCTACTCAGGAGGTTGAGGCTGAGTGGGAAATTTCTCTAGTGGGAGAATTGCTTGAACCCAGGAGGCAGATGTTGCAGTGAGCCAAGATCGTGTCATTGCACTCCAGCCTGGGTGACAGAGCAAGACTCTGTCTTGAGAAAAAAAAGAAAAAAAGAAACTTTTTCTGAGGGCCCACCCATGATGGAGCAAAAACTTACTTGGCTATGTCAAGAGAAAATAATGCAACAAGTACAAAACGTGTTGATCAGTGCACCTGTGTCTCTCTGTTGGACAGAGAGTTAGATATTCATAGAGACTGCTGTCCTCATCTGTAACTACATCAAGCTAGAGAGACTGTCATAATACAAGTGGATGGAGGCAGCTGTGAGTAGAGAAAGCAGGAACACTGGCCCCCATCTCTACTCTTCAGTCTTGGCCCTGTTTCAACTTTCACTTTCATATATGGCAAAATCGAAACTCTAACTCAGCTGAGTGTTAGTCGAAGTAGGTGTGTCCTGCTCCCCGATGACAGGTTGCTCAGAGACTGCTGATTTCCACCCCTATATAAAGGAAGTCCCTGGCATGCAGGGACTGCTCTGCTCCAGGCCTCTGCCACCATGTGGGTGCTCGCGCCTGCTGCTTTTGCTGGGAAGCTACTGAGTGTGTTTAGCCTGCCTTTGAGCTCTCTGTGGAGGAGCCTGGTCCTGCTGTTCTGCTGGTTGAGGGCAACGTTCTGGCTGCCAGGGACCAAGACGACAAAGAAGCAGCTGGTCCCGAGAGAGCCAACCAAGACCAAAGAGGAAGAAGAGGACCCCCCTCTGCCTACCACCCCTACCAGCGTCAACTACCACTTCACTCGCCAGTGCAACTACAAATGCGGCTTCTGTTTCCACACAGCCAAAACGTCCTTTGTGCTGCCCCTTGAGGAAGCAAAGAGAGGACTGCTTTTGCTCAAGGAAGCTGGTGAGTCCCTGGTCCTGGGCAGAAATCGGGATTCTCAACCACCGGACAGTGGGGTAAGGTGAGGAGGGGCTGGGGGTGCACAAGCTGGAGAGCTTCTCCAAAACTGAAGCTCACCGTTTGCCATTGCATGGTCAATATGTTGCCCTGTGAGAAAATAATTCAGTGAATTTTGGAATGGATCCTTCCTAAATCACAGAGTTGGCCCGGAGTGGGGGATTGGTGGAGCAAACCTGTCCCTCCTATCTCTTGGAAGCAAGCAGAGGTCTCTGCAAAGGGCAAGTCCCTGTCACACTCAGTGTTTGGAAAGAGGCAGTTTGGGAAGACTGTATCACTTTCTGGGTTCACCCACAACACAAATTTGGGTTTTCCAGAAACAGTTATTAGTAATTAGGAAAGTTGGAAACAAAAAAACTTTGACATAAAAACAGCAATAGTTGAACCTTATATTTGAGTTTGTATATGTTCTTTTAATACGAAACCTTAAAATTGTTTTAACAAATATGTTAAAGACTTAGCTCTAAAGAATGCTTACTGAGCATCACCACATTAATAACTTGCAGCATCTTGGAGATAACTCAGTACATGACCTTTAAATGCAAGATCTTCCACTCCAGATCCATTCTTCCTTCCATCCTTGTTTTTCTGTCTTTCCTAGAGTACCTTCTCAGCTAGTACCTTCTCAGCTAGTACCTTCAGCAACATCTCTAGCTTCTTTCCCTCCTTGTTTAACTTTTTAATGAAAGCATAGCATACATGCATCAGATTACACATATTCAGGGTGTACATCTTGATGAATTTCACAAAGTGATCACAGCGAAGTAAATAGCCTGCAGATCCAGAGAGAAAGCATCACCAGCCCCCAGAAGTGCATGCTGCACTCTAGCCACTACCCTGGTCCTCAAAGGTAAGCACTTGCTGGACTTCTGACTCACAGATTCATTTTGCTTATCCTGTTCTTTATATAAATGGAATCATACAGTGTGTGCTATGTTGAATCTCACTTCTTTCCTCCTCGTTACATTAGCTTAGTCCCCCAAAGCTGATTGCACACGTGAGAACCTGACTTCCCATTCTCAGTGTGGCTTAACCCAAATTCCTGTTATTTCTCACCATGATTATTATAATTCAACTCACTATCTCTGCTCACCCAACTGCAAACTCCTGGTCTTATTTTAAAATGTAGTTTTGGTGATTTAACATCCCACCCAACTCTCCTGCTTGTGAGCATCATTGTCAAGGCCCATGGCAAGCTCAGTGTTGCTTTCAGCATCCACTACCCTGATGGCTTGGGTTCCCTCTGCTGTAGACACAGCCTTTCACACTCATTTTCTTCAAACACCAAAATCATTAAGAGTGGTCATATCGTTGTCTCTTCCTAGAATGTCGGTCCTCAAATCTGTGTCGGTGAACTTTCAAAGCTCCTTTGGATTCTCCTTGGTCCTCTGTGGCCATAATTATGCCTTTTGCTTTTCATTTGTGAACTCGTAACACTTGCTACAAAGGTGTCTTGCAGCTTCTATAAATGTACTATTTTGTTCAGTTTTGTTTTTAATGTCTGGGTCCTCAAAGAAATTATGTTCCAAGGTTGAATTTGACCCTCTTATGTATATTCATGCCTGGCAGAGTGTCTAGAATGTTACAGAGCCTTAATAAATGTTTTTAGATAAATGAATGAATATAAGGAGATATGTTGAATGAAATGACAGATTTTATTCAGAAGGCCAGGGTTTGAGTTTCTGCTCTAACATTTACTAGACTTGTCAAGACATTTAACTTTTCTGAGTATCAGTTCCATGATCTTAAAATTATCATTAGATAAAAATGATAACTGATAAACCCATCTTAAAAGTTGGTGCAAGGCAGAAATAAGTGAATATTCATTTTTTGTCATAAATGATAGCCTATTAATTATAATTAATACTTTTATATAATAACCTCTTCGTTTAAGTAAGTAAAAGCAAAGTTAATTGAAATGCTTACAGGTTAGTGTAGGTTGTATTTTCTTGTAAGAGAGATTTCTAAATAATGGAGGAAAACATATTTTTGTGGTTGTAAGCCTTAAAGAAAGAGGAAAGAAACACAAAAGGTGGCTCTACAGTCAAGGACAGGTGTATTTTAGAGAAAACAAACGTGAGAGGGGCTTCTGGCCAAGTTAAGTCAGAGCTGAAGCTCTTACAGACTAAGAGTTTTTAAAGATTTAGAGTGGGAGAATTTATCAGAGGGTTACACTGCTTCTGTGTTTCTTTGTTGTGCTTATCTGGGAGAGGGAGTTGTGTGTCTGTTTTCATACATCTTCCTGCACCTGCTGGCATACCCATCCTGAGTCTGCTTTTAGCTTCCCTATCAGTCCACCTGAAGGGAAAGGAATGTCCTTATTAAGGCCCGCTGTTTCACTGGGGCCCATTATATGAGGGTGAAGTTTGGTAGTTACCCAAGAGACCTCTCCCCCAACCTCCCTCCCTGCCTGAGCTGTCTTATCTGTGTTTTACTGTCTGTTCTTTCTGGCTTCTTGCAGTTAGAAGTGATTTTCTTGAAATGCATGAGGCTAGAAAGGGTGCTGGAACTTTAAGTGGCAGTGTTTGTCACGAGGTGACCGTGCTCCTGCTCTGTCAGTGGTAATTAAAGGTTTAAAATTACATTAAAATTTGAATTTTAATATATATTTTATACATTATATTTAAAATTAAAATTTACTTTTCTGGCTAAAGAGACTTCTAAAATATATTATTTACTTTTCTGGCTTTTAAACTGCTTTGAAAGTCTGTTCAGAAAGACTGAATAGAATTTAAAACAATGAGCATCAGATCTGGGCTGTAATGTGATCACTTGTGTACGTTAACACCATTGTCAATCAATTCCTCTTTGTCTAAGATCTTAACTATGCCTCTAAATTCTATTAACACCATTGTCAATCAATTTCTCTTTGTCTAAGATCTTAACTATGCCTCTAAATTCTATTCCTTCCATTTTCTTCTTCTTCCATCCCTTTTAAATATACTTCTCAAAATTGTTAGCAGCTCTTTGCCACTGGGAAGTACCTTGTCTTACTTTCTCCAGTTTATCTGCTGCTACATCACCACCCTTATTAGGTAACTACGTTTTGTTTTGTTTTCAAATTATAATGAATGTCACTCAAGCAACCTCCCAGCATGATGGATTATAAATAGGGGGGTGATATAATGTCTCACTGTCCAATCATTGACACATCTGAGAGTTTAAGGGGGCACTAAAACTGACTCACAGATATTGCTTTGTCTATCATAAACCAAAACTGTTCCAGGCACACCAGGATGGAGGCTTCTCTGCTTATAAAGACTCAAGGCTTTGGAGCCTAGGCATGTACCCTAGCTCCACTTTTCTCCAGCTTTATGTCTTGAACAAGTTGTTTAACCTTTCTTGGCTTCAATTCTTGCACCAAATAACAGGTAATAATTCCTTCCCATGGGTTATTTAAGGATTGAAAGTTTTAACCTTATTACCTTGGGTGCTGTATGGTAAGGCCAGATACAGAATAAGGCAGACCAGAAAGAGCTTTGCAGCTCTGTGACTCCCAATACCTTGGGGAGTGCACCATGGGCCCTCCAGGACCATGCAGGAAGCACCAGGTTAGTCATCAGGCAGGGGAAGACAGGGATTGTAGAATAAGCCCATAGGACAGTTTCCACAGGAGCAAACAGGTGAGGCAGGGCCAGCAGGCGCGGCACGGGCTGGTTTGGATAATTTTGACAGGCCCTGAAGCATAGGTCCTGTCCCTGGTTTTCTGGTACCAGGCCCTGGGATGATTAGAGCAGTGAAGAGTGGCCCAGCGTATTAGTATAGACAAAGTAGTCAGAGGGTCCACTTAATTGGCTGCTCAAGAAGAGGAACTGACTGGCTTCTAGCCAGGGCCTCAACACTAAGTCAAGATGGCTTTTCAAAAGATATATAGCAGTGAGACTGTACACATTAAACTGCCAAGTGTGGTATTCAGCCCTTAGTAGGTGCAAAGTTTGAAGGGATAGGCTCACTAATAATGTTCTTTGGTTCTGCTGCTCTAGCTGGTATTCCTAGTTATTTTATTCCCATGACCAAATCTGCTTGAGATGTTTACTGGGTCTAACACTTCTTTGGTTTCTGATTCTAATGTCGGCTTTTTTTTTTTTTTTTTTTTTTTTTTTTTTTTTTTTTTTCTGAGATAAACTCTTGCTCTGTCACCCAGGCTGGAGGGCAGTGGCAGGATTTTGGCTCACTGCAACCTCCGCCTCCCGGGTTCAATTATTCCACTTCAGCCTTTACGGGCTGTCTACTATGATGTGACCATAACACAGATCAGCTAACAAGTACTCAGTGAACTGGATTGAACGGAATAGAATTAGAAATGAACCTCATCACGATCATATCACTGTATAAACATCTGAATTTCAAGATATTCTGGGCCTTGTAGTTGATTGTGGCATATTTATCTTCATTTCCTCCAACTTCTCCTCCACTACATTAAAATTACAGTAAAAGAATTAAAAGAAGGGAATAAAACCACAAAGAAATCAACACATAGTTGTAACCTATTCATGGCATGAAGCAGTTTCTGCATGTGTCTTCAGCGAGACGGCAATAGGAAACTCACCAGATTGCTCCACAGAACACAGAGAGTTTCAGAAACTGGTCCCGTCATTTGATACGGAAGGTTGGTGTGAGGCAGGAATTAAGTACTTTTTTTACTACTTTATGCTTTCCCCAGGGCCCCTCCCCAATTCCTACAGATGACAGAGGTTTTTTTTCTGAAGGATCTGGTTCCCAAGGGCTGAACACTCAGGGATACTAGCTGTAGTGAAGAATAGAAACCACCCACTGAAAACAGCAGAAGTAAGAGCAAGTCTACCCAGCAGGTAGGGAGGCCCCATCTTCCTAGAATGCAGACAGGCAAGTAAATGACGCAAAGGCCCATCCTCCTAGAATGCAGGCAGACAGGTGTGTAAATCACAGGCCCATCCTCCTAGAATGTAGACAGGCAGGTGTATGACGCACAGGCCTATCTTCCTAGAATGCAGGCAGGTGGGTGTGTAACGCATAGACCCATCCTCCTAGAATGCACGCAGGAGAGTGTGTATCACATAGACCCATCCTCCTAGAATGCAGGCAGGTGGGTGTGTATCACATAGACCCATCCTTCTAGAATGCAGGCAGGTGGGTGTGTATCGCATAGACCCATCCTCCTAGAATGCAGCCAGGTGGGTGTATAATGCATAGACCCCATCCTCCTAGAATGCAGGCAGGCGGGTGTGTAACACATGCAAGAGACAGATATTCTTCTCTGAGAAAACAAGATGACTCCAGAGTAAAGAGCAAGGATATTAGCATTTGGAGGTTTTCCAATGAATAAGCCAGTTTACCTCTCTGTCTCTCCATAGTAAAACCTTCCTTTGGACCAGCCCCCCACTTCATCACAAAATTCCATTCAGCTATTTTGCAACACACTGAAATTTGAATGAATGAACAAAAACATCAAAAGAAAAGACAGACACCAAAACAATGCACAGAGAGGATGTAGAAAGAAGAAAACTTCCAAAAAATCTATAGCTAGTAATTACAGGGAGATAAAAGAAAGAATTGCATGTGTGAAACGAGAATAGAATGCCAAGAAAGGAATAGTCAGAATATGGAAGCATCTCGGGAACTGAAAGTGGGGTTTCTAAAATTACAATTTTAATAGAAAGACAAAAAGGTAAAGTCTTACCAAAATGAGACCAAGAAGCAGGATAGACATAGAAAGGAAAATGATAAGAAAACAGTGGTTAAATTTAGACACTCCAATATTCCAGTAATAGAAGTTCCAGAAAAAGGAAAAAGTAAAAATTGAGACAAGGTACGAACAATCAAATAATGTGAGATTTTTTTTTTTTCATAACATAAAGAGCTGTGATTTTAGATTGAGGCCTTCCAGGTGGCCAGATGGTGACTAAAGAGAGATTTTTAGGACACCGTGTCTTGAAATTTCAAAACATTGGGAAGAAAGCTTCTGGAGAGTAGAGAAAGCCATGCACTTACAAAGGATTACAATGAGGGCGTTATCAGGCCTCTGAACAAGAACACTTAAAACTGAGAAAGTTTGCTGAGAATGATGGTTTCCAGATTCATCCATTTCCCTATGAAGGACACAAACCCATCATTTTTTATTGCTGCATAGTATTCCACTCCACATTTTCCCTGTCCAGTCTATCATCGATGGGCATTTCGGTTGGTTCCAGGTGTTTGCTATTGTAAACAGTGCTGCAATGAACATACGTGTGCATATGTCTTTATAATAGAACGATTTATAGTCTTTTGGATATATAGCCAGTAATGGGATTGCTGGGTCAAGTGGAATTTCTACTTCTAGGTCCTTGAAGAATCACCACACTGTCTTCCACAATGATTGAACTAATTTACACTCCCACCAACAGTGTAAAAGTGTTCCTATTTCTCCACATCCTCTCCAGCATCTGTTAGCTCCAGATTTTTTTTTATTGCATTTTAGGTTTGGGGGCACATGTGAAGAACGTGCAAGATTGTCACATAGGTACACACATGGCAGCGTGATTTGCTGCCTTCTTCCCCATCACCGATATCTGGCATTTCTCCCCATGCTATCTCTCCCCACTTCCCCACCCTCCGCTGTCCTTCCCCTGTTTTCCCCCGACAGACCCCACTATGTGACACAAGAACAGAAAATCAAACCGCATGTTCTCACTCATAGGTGGGTGTTGAACAATGAAAACACATGGACACAGGGAGGGGAGCATCACACACTGGGGTCTGTTGCAGGGGAAATGGGGGAGGGACATCGGAGGGTAGGGAGGTTGGGAAGGTATAACATGGGGAGAAATGCCAGATGTAGGAGACAGTAGGGATGGAGTCAGCAAACCACGTTGCCAGGTATGTACCTATGCAATAATTCTGCACATTCTGCTCATGTACCCCAGAACCTAAAGTGTAATAAAATGTATTTTAAAAAACGAGCAAAAAAGATGTCACCTAGAATGTGACATGTGGCCAAACAATTGATCACCAATGCATTTTGAGGTCTCTGCCTTAATTCCTATTTTACATTTTTTCCAGGAAGATTGTAAAGAAATTTTCCAAAATAAGGGAGTAACCCCAAGAGAGAGGAGGATGCAGAATCCAGGACAAGGGGTAGGGTGGGAAACGCAGCGTGAGGAGGGGTGTCGCTCTCAGGCTGGCAGCTGGTCCATGGACAGTCACGCCACATGGTGGGCGGGTGGGGGGCATGCGGCTTTCTGCTTTGCAAATCCCTGTGTTGCCTCATCGTACCCTTTGGTGTCGGAGCAATTCTATTCATCTGTGTAAACAATTCCCTGCACCCCTGTTTAGACCCTGAATTAATCACATGCTATTCCCACTGGGTAGGATTGGTGTTGGGAACTAGGGTTAGGGGAGGTGAAGATAATGAGAAAGTTTTATTTCACTTTTTTTACATTGAGAAAATATTATTTTTGCTATTAAATATATATGTATATGTGTGTTAAGTGGTAAAATTGATGTATCACCTCACACAGGTATGGAGAAGATCAACTTTTCAGGCGGAGAGCCGTTTATTCATGACCGGGGAGAATACCTGGGCAAGCTGGTGAAGTTCTGCAAAGCAGAGCTGCAGCTGCCCAGCGTGAGCATCGTGAGCAACGGAAGCCTGATCCGGGAGAAGTGGTTCCAGAATTATGGTGCGCTTCACGGGATGGCCCTGTCCTTACTGCTATTGTTATTGTCGGTTCTTGTATTTCTTTCCATCCTGGGCCTTCAGCCAGACCTGCTGAGGAACTTGAAGGGAGGAAAAACTAATCTTGCTTACTCTAATCGTTTTTCAAGCTGTGCATGGCATTATGGCAGTTTTAGTTCCATAGGGCTCTCAGTACACAAGTTTGGCAAGTTAGATAATAGACCTTATTACTGAGATGACTATCTTGTACATTGCAATTTAGCAAATACAAGACCTCTGGCCTTAGTTTAGACACTAGCAGGGAAAATTGACACGTGTGACAACTTTGTAATAAAATATCTCTGTTGAGACTGGACTGGACTGGACCCATGACTAATTGTATCAGAACCTCGTGGTGTGTGGATTGGCCAATGTCGGGGGCTCAAAGGGATTTCACTGTGTAGCCAGGATTAAGAACTGCTGAATTCTAAGGCCGCTGAGGTTCCTCGAAGTTCAGTTTTCTGCAGATGTCATATCCATTTAGCAGTACTTGAAACTTAGGAAGGACCTGGAAAACATTAGCTCTTCTTATATGTACTGTCATGTTGGGCACCAAGTGTAGCCTGTTAGGGTACAATTCTCTGTTCTTTTTTTGTATGAGCTGTTTGAGCCTTGAAACCATGCAAAGAGAAGCTGCATTTTTCTCTTGAGGATGTTGCTGAGACATCTTTGATACCTCATCTGAGATGGTGCAGACATGGACTGTGGGGGAGGTTCGCTGTGGATGTGGGTTGAAGGGTCCATCTGATAAGGGTGAATCAGGAAAAGAAGAGCAAAGGTGTCAGGTGCGTGAGTTAGGAAGGGCCCACAAGGCAATGCGTAAAACCAAAACGGTAGTGAAGGGCGGCACTTTGTCACACAGGGGGTCTGAGGTTCAAAAGTGAACTTTGGGAACCATCCTCAGACAGATAGAAAAGAAACTGAGAAAGCAGTGTGATGGAGAATAACTGGCAGGGCTTTCCGGGTGGGTACCCAGCCAGTGCTCTTCCTCCAAGATCAGCTGTCCAGGATGTCCTTGTGGTGTGCTTAGCAAGGACAGCACTCCGCGTCCAAGTCAAAGCTCTCAGACTTGCGGGAGAAAGTGGTATACATTACTGAATTGAGAAGCATGTAAGGAAAGCCGCTGTCAGAAGCATGGAGACAATAAGAAAGCATGAAGACTCTGGAGAATGGGAAGCCTCATGCCGTATTCCTATGGTGCATGAGTAGACAGCCAACTAGGGGATTTCGTTGATTTTTGTGCAACATGAGAATTTGGATGATCCTCAAATCATTCAACAAAGATCAAAAACTACAATAATAAGTATTTGCAAATAATTAGAAATATTTTTAGACATTGTGAGGACTAAATGTATATAGATGCCTGTCTGGTCCACCTTTGTCTAATGGGTCAGGGCTGGGTCTATGTGCTTAAGTGAATGAGAGGAGCTGTTTCAGAGCCCCACTGCCTCTCCAATTTGGTAATTTGCAAGAAGGACTTCCAACACTCAGTAGCCAGTTATACTTATGGCTAGGGTTTCTCTTTTCTTTTCTTTTCTTTTCTTGAGGCTGAGTCTCGCTGTGTCACTCAGGCTGGAGTGCAATGGCTCTATCCCAGCTCACTGCAACCTCTGCCTCTGGGTTCCAGGTTCAAGCAGTTCTCCTGCCTCAGCCTCCTAAGTAGCTGGGATTACAGGGACCTGCCACCACACCCAGCTAATTTTTGTATTTTTTAGTAGAGATGGGAGTTTCACCATTTTGGCCAGGCTGTTCTCAAACTCCTGATCTCATGATCCTCCCGACTCAGCCTCCCAAAGTGTATGAGCCGCTGCACTTGGCCACGGCTAGGGTTTCTTAAAGGAAACAAAAAACTGTCAGGGTAGACACGTACATCACCAGAGTCCAGAAAGGCCAGATACAGGCTTCTGAGTTCTTCTCCATCCCCGGCCTCACAGGTTGTACTTTCTCTCTAGCAGTGAACTACGTGGATATATTTGGAATGTCTTTGCACAGAAAGGTCCATTTGAGTTCTAGGGTGTGAGGCTTTATACAGGGCTGGTCATTTACACCCGTACTGATATGGAACCAGCTATTGAAACTGAAACTCAGGACCCCAGCAATGCAAATAAGGAAATCGTGGATCTTGTTAAACAGTCCTGGCAAGTCTTCACAAGTTGATTCAACAGGCCCCATTGCTCCAAGTTTATACACCTCACCAATTAGTGATATATAGAATATTGTGTCGGTCATATATGCAGGGGTTGGCCAAGATTCCACCATGGTTCCAGGTTCTCCTGGAAAGATGTAGGGGCTGAGCAAACAGATATGCTCCCTTAAATCTGTCTTCCCAAGAGCTTTGTAAAGGAAATGCCGAGAACAAATGGAGAGTTATCATGGAGACAGAGCAAAAGTTGGAAAGGGGGCAGAATATAGCAATTGACTTACAGATCCTCAGACAACTTGGAAATCAACTAGGTCAGTCTTTAGTATAACTGATAAGTCTCTATGTTTTGTGTTTTGAACTTAGTTTCTGGTCTGTGTGGAGATCAGGTGTTCATTTACTTGCCTTTTCACAATGTGATATGCCATTAGGAATTTATTTCAGATCCGTATTAGAATGTTTTGAGTTGTTTTAAATAATGGACAATTGCTTTATTCTGGGTCCAGTTTCTGCGAGATGTTTTGAGGGCTTATGTTACTTATGGGCAAAATAAAATTAGCCCCAAAATAGGAATTTAAATGCCTATTTTCATAACTTTAGAGGATAGTTGCTTAAAGAGTTTTGGGACTTTCTAGCTTCTATAATTTGAAAGTAATTTTAAGAAAAATAGTCAACTCTTAACAACTCACAAAACTAGGAAACTCAGACTTGATCAACTGCAAGGAATGACTCAGCCATTGAGAATGCCTGTACTTAAGAGATAAGTGGATGGCGTGAAGGAGCAGAGGAAACTGAAGGGGTTAGGAGAGATGGATAGGAACTAGTGTTGCAGAGACCAAAACGAAGGTCACCGTGAACACCTTCTGTGCTCCCGAAACAACCCGCTGTCACAGCTCTGCACATAACCATGTTGCATGGAGGGGCCTGTTCATCCCCACACCAGGCTTCCCTTTCTCTTGGTTTTCTCCACATCTAGCACAGTTGTCCCAGACATCACATAGAGTGTCTCTAAATATTTAAATGATTAATCAACTATCAAGGAGATGTCAAGAAGAAACTGATGAACTAGGCAAAAATACTAGGGATCTTCAATAGGGCAGTTTTATCTGTGTGTTGGAAAGAAAAAGAAGTAAATTTATAATTGTTCATAAATAAGTCTGGAGGCATCCAAATATATCTACCTGCCTCAGAAATTACATACTTTCTGTGCAGGAATAAATGAAAAACCTCATTTGAATATATCAACAAGCATTCACACATATACACATGAGAATTTTCAAATAATCAGCCGTAAGATTCTCATCATTATTTTACATGCATATTTTCAAGTTTGTTTGACACCAGAAGAAAGTATAATTCATATCTCAATGAGTTTTGTGGGTACAAGGAAAAGTGCCTTCTAAAAAATTAAAACAAGATACATTTTATCACAAGAGATATCATTAGCCTGAGGGGCTTGGTCCTTGGATAGAAGAGTTTAAAGATGATCCTTTTCCTTCAGGTGAATATTTGGACATTCTCGCTATCTCCTGTGACAGCTTTGACGAGCAAGTCAATGTCGTTATTGGCCGTGGTCAAGGAAAGAAGAACCACGTGGAAAATCTTCAAAAGCTGAGGACGTGGTGTAGGGATTATAGAGTTGCTTTCAAGATAAATTCTGTCATTAATCGTTTCAACGTGGAAGAGGACATGACTGAACAGATCAAAGCGTTAAACCCTGTCCGCTGGAAAGTAAGTACACAAGGTTGCTTTTGCGGATTTCCTGCAAGAAAATGTTCAGGAATGACTTTTTTCAATGAAACTGAAAACAACACTTATACAAGAGAACTCTGGACCTTGCAAGCCATTCCAGAAGTCAGGTCCTTGGTTTTTCAGCTGTATTAGACTTAAAACTATACTTTTCTTTGCCTTACTTCCCTTTTCTGAAAACTTGAAATGATTTCCTTTGGAAATATTGTGAGGATAAACATCAAAAAATATGCTCAGTGCTTGGAAATCTTTGAAAGAACATGTTCATAGAAAGCCAAAATTTCTTTCTGAAACTCTTGGCTTATGGATGGACAGATACAGGTTCCTCATAAATTCTGATGCAGTGAATTTCTGGAAGACATTAGGACTAAAGTCACCCCCAAGTTGTAGCAAAATGGGACTTTTATTCCCAGATTCATGCTTTAGGGCCGACCCCACTACCCGCTACTAAAAGCCTAAAGGCCAAACACACAAGCCAGCTCCACATATACAGCACCCGCTACATGCAGACATGATGACTAAAATTCTTGTTTTCTAACTTTGACTGCTCATCAGCATCACATCAGGAGGCTGTTTATAAAGCAGCCTGTTGGGCCTCATATCTGCTGTCCTGAAATGGGGCCTGTGGTCAAGGCAAGTATAGTTCGGAGGGCTTGCAAAACATGTGTTTCTAATGAGCAGTTCTGGGGATTATTGTATAGCTACACAGCACCTGTGTCTGGAGCCCAGCGTGGATGCAATGAAAGATCAGGTGCAGAGCTCAGTGCTGGCACAAACACACAGAGATGGGGGAAAACTCACACAGTAGCAAGCTATGTGGGCTTCCATTACGTGAAGTGGCAAAGCAAGCCAGGCTTAACTGGAAGACCTCATATAGAGGAGGCATTTGGCTATGCTCTGAAAAATGGAAAGAATTTTCATAGGCAGCAAAGACCTGAAGCAGAAATTCACGTCCAGACTGGAGGGCTTGCCTGCACAAAGAGCAGCTTTTCCTTCAAAGCTGCCCTGGAGATTTCTTTCAATCCCGTGTCAGCATTCCAAATAGAGTTAGGGAGGAGGAAAAGGGGTGTTCTGTCATTTTCCCGAACCCATCCTGTAATATGTGGCAATGGGTTAGGGGAAGCCGGAGATGGTACTTTTAACATTTTTTAATAGGTATGTTGAACATGGACTTTTGGTTGCATATATAAGGACGTGAAATATCAGCCACATTCCCAGGTCTAGAAAGAATTGGAGGAAAGCTAAAGAGAGAGGTATAATAGGAAAAACAGGGACTGTGATCCACTAGGAAGGCAGGGGCTCCAGGCAGGGGCTAAGCTGCCTTAGAGATGCTGACATTCCTGCCAGACCCTGCCCCTATCCCCACCTCTCTTCTCTGCCCCATGGTTCCTGCTGCTACCGTCTTCCTCATAGCTCTCTTTTTTTCAGATGCGTCAGTATTTTTTCCCCACAGCTTGGTTTTCTCCTCTCACAGCCTTCCTCTCAGATATTTTGACTCGTGTGCTGGTTTCCATTCATCTGATTCATTTTAGATTTGCCATTTCAAGATCCTGACTCTTTTGGTGGAAGCAGCTCCTGCCTGTTTGGAAAACCAGATGGTTGATGCTTTCAGGCTTCCCATTCCTATACACATCAGATAGATGTGTATCAGGTGCCTGTTCTTAATCTAATCGTACGTGGCACTCGGAACCTGGTTTCCTGAGTCCATCTCCTCCACCACGAGGCTGTGGGCTGGAAGGTGCCACCAGCTGTGTGCCTGGGACAACAGCACTGAGCATGTGGCCTGCTCACTGGGAGGCTTTGTTGTGACCTGTAGGCTTGCTCCAGCAGCATGGGAGGAGGGGGGCTCCTTCTACCCCTCCATGCCCAACCCCACACCCTCAGTACTGTTCCCCTTACAGCTCCTATGACTTGTTTTTCTCCTGCAGAGGCCCTTCCATTCTGGCTGGCTGATTCTGCAGTCAAAGTCCCTGGGAAAAAAAAAATGCCCGTGATGTATGTCTTCTTTGGTAGTCAAGTCTGCTCATTATTCAAACTTGCGTGGAAGGACAGTCCCTCCTTGCCAGACCTCTCCTTACCCTGAGCCTGGATGGGGCATGGGGGTGGGTGGCAGTCCCTCGCAAGATGCTCACAGTCTGTTAAGGAAGACACCACGAAAGCAGATAGCAAAATTATCCTGTGACCAGGGGCCAGTGGAGGCAGATATCAAAAAACCGAGGACCAAAACAGAAGGGGAAAAACAAAGAGTGAGCAAAAAAGGGAACACTGAAGTGTTGACAGTTTCTTCTCATCTGATTACAGCGGGATCTGAGTGGTTCAGACAATGACGTCAGTGAAATTCTGTGTAGAACAATCCTTTCCATGGAAACCCTTTAGATCTGGGCTTGTCCTGGCTGTGTTTTGGGTTAGCTGTCACCTTTTGTCACCTTGGGCAAGTCTCTTCATTGCTTGCCTTCCCTAGGACTGACTTCTATTTTCAAATGACGGTAGTATGTATAGAATCATACACTGTACACATTCATACACACACATTTGTATATTTAAAACACTGTTAAAAGATAATAGTGATGATTCTGAAAAACAGTTCTTAGATATTAAATGAAAAACAGACATACTAGAGTCCTTCAGAAGGACATATTAAAAATCAGCAGAGAAAACAATGTTTTTAAAATGTGGGGTTTTTTTTTGTTATGGGATTACACATGATTTATTTTTCTTGCTCTTTTATAGTTTATGCTTTTTCAATGAGTATCCATTATTTTGTTGCCTGAAAATACTAGATTGTAAGAATAAATCAAACATAATCTAGACCAGTTTTTCAAAGTTTATATTTTAAGAATGTGCTTCTAAAATCATATTCCTAAATTTCAGGGCAAGCTTTCCTTTCACCAAAGTCATATCCTTATAGAATGTTCCTCAGCTTATAAAGTCTTCTTTGCTCAGAAGAGATGAAGCTTGAACAGAGGAAGCGAGGTCTGGGGGAAAACATGATGGAGAGCTCTCTGCAAAACCAGTGCTACCATTGCCTTTCAGGTGTTCCAGTGTCTCTTAATTGAGGGTGAAAATACTGGAGAAGATGCTCTAAGAGAAGCAGAAAGATTTGTTATTAGTGATGAAGAATTTGAAAGATTCCTGGAGCGCCACAAAGAAGTGTCCTGTTTGGTGCCTGAATCTAACCAGAAGGTTGTATAAAGCAAAAGTTGTTTTCTTTATCATTATATATTCAGATAGATTCCCAAAGAGGAAATCTCTCAGCCATGGGCACCACACATTGTTACTTTAGAGAGTTCATTGGTGTGAGATGGGAACACTGCCATGTCAGGGCAGATAAGGCTGCCATTGGCTCTGCCACCTCCCAGCTGTGGGATCTTTAGAGAGCTTCAGTTTCTCTACCTGGAATGGATAGAGTGGTACTTTGCAAATGATACAATTGTATATAGATTCATGTAGATATTCTTGATATACAATTCATATATGTATAATGTCCCTATGTGTCATACATGTATGACTCAGTCCCTAAACAGAAAGAACTAACAAATGCTACTCTATTGATTTCAACATTTTCACATTATTTAGTTGAATAATTTGTATGTGTAATTTTGTTGCATAGAATGCAAAAGAAATGTTTCACCAACTGTTTAGTTTGCTAATGTAATGACCATTGGATCTATCCTATTAGCACGGATTTCATAAACAGATAAAAGAGGGTTGATCAAACAAGTCCACACTTTGGAGCTTCCAGGTAATACTAGAGGCAGGGTATCTAAAGATGTATTCTCAGAAGCGACAGAAAAAAAAATCCTTCTTCTTCCTGCCACATTAGAGGAAACTCCTTATTAATGAAAGATACAAACTTAAAAAAAATTATGATAGTATAATTGAATGCATAAAATTAAAACTATACGTCACACATATCATAAAATTAAAAATGAAATATGTTAATGTGATATACTGAGTTGTATCAAATAAAGTCTTATATATAAAAAATTCATTAAATCAATAAAAATCTATTAACACCAAAAAAGCAAAACAGGAATGGGCCAAGGTAGATAATTTACAGAAGGAAAACAAATGGTGAATAAACATTTTAAGAGCGTTTGATATTGTATTTAGTTCATATTGTTAGCAAGAGTATAAATCATGGCAAATTTCCTAGAAAACAAATTGCTAACTTTATAACCTTCGAAATAGTCACATATTTGAATTCCAAAATTGTACCTTAAAACATGAGAAATATTCACAGATGTAGAAAAATATTTATGTAAAGATACATTACTGCAGTATTAAGAATAATACCCCAAAATTAAAGATAGCCTGTCATTTAGCATACAGAGAGAATGGGTAAATTTGTAGGTTCACAGAATGAAATGTTACACAGACTAACATGCATATTCCAAAAATGTTTAAGTGACAAGGAGAAATTCTGATAATACAATACTAGATACAGATAAAAAACAGTATGCAAAATTAAGTTGAAGTTTAATCCTAACGTGTAAGAAAAATGCATCTCTACATATTCCTATGGTTATCTTGGTGTAGCAGAATTATTATTAGTTTTTTTTTTACCTTTATAACTTTTCAAACTTTAAAATTCTGTAACATAAATATTAGTGTTATTATTTTACAAGCAGCTTCTCCATCTGCCATCCAAAAATATACATACAGGAAAATCTTTACCCCGTAATGCTTACGTAATGCTAGGAACTCATATAGCAGACATTCATTCCTTATGCTTTAGACTTCTGAGGCTCTAGGTAAATAGTTCAAGGTTAAAAGGTGAGCCTTTTATTTTGAAGTGAAGTCTTTATACTGAAGTGAGCCTGAATAAGAGAATTTTAGAATGCAGGACAGGATGACCATCAAAGAGAAGAGAAAGGGGGTAGAGGAGATTTTCTTCTACGCACTATTTTATTACATTTTTTAAAACTCCATTAAATAGTTAATATGAGATGAAAGAAAATCTGGTTGAGTGCCTCTTTTGTAAGAGGGACTGTTAACGCTTTGACCCGTTGCCATTTTCACAAATGCTTCATGAGCCAGGATTTATTATCCCTATTGTATGTATACACCAAGAGGCCGAGTGGTAGGTGCTCATTTACCTGACTTGTATCAGGGACAAAATCTGAATTTTGATGACCCCAAAGCCCACCAACCTTTCAGCCAGTTTGTTTCAAACTTCAAAGAAGTTACCTGAGATCTTGTGAAAAGGCAGACCCTTACTCGGCAGGTCTGAGCTGGGCCCACCACTCCACACCTTGAACTGGTTCCCAGGTGACGCTGATGCTGCTGGTCCCCCGCTAGAAATTGAACAGTGGCTCTGCTCCCATCGCTGCATGGGAGTCGGCAAATGCCGGCCCGAGGGGTGGGTCTGGCCTGCCACCTGTTGTAGTACAGGATACAGGTTGAGAGCTGATAAGGGAAAATATCAAAGCAAGAATCATACTTATGACCAGTGAACACTATGTAAAGGTTGGCTTTCTGGGCCCATAAATGAAGTTTTGGTGGAGCTCAGCCGAGCTCTTTCCCTTAGGTATTGTTTGCATTGTCTTTTGCGCTGCGCTGCACAGTTGATTAGTTGTGAGACTGTGTGGCCTGAGAAGTCAAAAATATTTACTATCTGGCCCTTCACAGAAAACATTTTGCAGACCCCTATCCATGGGTAGGTATGGAAGAAACACCTTCCGACCGACAGTACAGGTACACCTTCTTTATACCTAAAGAAGGCATAACTATTTATAGGTAATGTTAGGGTAACATTAAAATCCTTAGGTAAAGCCACCCTTTAGCTCCAAAAAAAAAAATACCACTCAAGACAGTTCTGCTTTATAAGTTGAGAAGGGGGATATTAGCTACATGGCGGACACAGTCGTTGGAAATATCAAGTAAAGAAGAGGGCTCTCCCAAAGTGTGAATCGATGGGGAAATTGCCTTGGAGTTCGCTGTCAGGGAAGCCTTCAGGATGGAGGTTCTGAGGTTTGATCTTTTCAGCAAAGAGCAGAGAGTCCAGGCCTGCTGAGATCTGTTGGAACCCGAATGCACACAAACAGAGTCTCGTCTTGCAAGGGCCACAACAAAGGCAACTCAAGGGAAATAAGAAATGCTGGATCCAAAATAACCCAACGCAAACACTAAAGGTGGACAGTTGAGCTCACATACTGAAAAATACACCTGAAACTAAATTTGTATTAACTTCTCCTTTGCAGATGAAAGACTCCTACCTTATTCTGGATGAATATGTGAGTATTTCTAATGAGTTATAAAATGATCACTTAATTAATTAGCAGCAATGCCAGAGTTGAGTTCCATGAGCATAACTACCTAGTTTCTATTTGTCCTTAATTAGCACTTCACAGTTTTATGGTCAGTGATTACGATTGTGCCAGAGCCCTCACTTCACAGGACCAAAACGCAGAGCTGAACCCTGGAACAGCATAAGCCTGAACCCAGGTCCCGGCATTGATCTGCACTGAGCACCCTATGATATTTTCTCCCATATGGCTGTACATCGTGGGTGTCACATTGAACCCATTATCACACATAGCGCAGTCATCTGTTACGTAGTCCTGGGCTGGAGGTTCTCCTGAGATAGGGCACCCAGCCTGCTTTGGAGGAAGGCCATATCACCCTTCTCATTATCTTGGACAAACCAGACACAGCTAGCTCCTCCTCTGATTGATAAACCTTGGCTTCGGTGAGAAGAGGCTTATGGTTCTGCTCCAAACACCATTGATATTATTTCCACCCCCACTGCCTTCCAAAGGCAGAGGGAAACCCGCCCTTCTGTAAATTGAAAAACAAATCACTTTCCCCTTTCCTCTGTCTTTTTTTTTTTTTTTTTTTTTTTTTTTTTTTTTGCTATATCTGTAACCTTTGTCATTCTTCCTAGCAAAGGACAAAAAATTCCACTTGAAGATGTTTTAAAGAAATTAGCTTCAACAACCTCGAGTTCAATATTTAAATTGGATTTGTTTTTTGGAGAAATGCTTACTGTCACTTTTGATATTTGCTTTGCTTTCTGTTTTTTTTTTTGTTTTGTTTTTTTTGTTTGTTTGTTTTTTGTGTTTTTTTTTGAGATAAGGTTTCCTCTGTCACCCAGGCTAGAGTACAGTGGCACAGTGTGGGCTCAGCTGATCCTCCTGCCTCTGCCTTCTGAGTAGCTAGCTGGGTGCACTATTACACCTAGCTAGATTTTTATGTACTTTTTGTAGAGATGGGATTTTGGCATATTGCCCATGCTGGTCTTGAACTCTTGGGCCTCCCCAAAAGCTGAGATTCTAGGCATGAGCCCCCATGCCCAGCTGATATTTTGTTATTTTCAAGTTAATCAATCATTGTTTATAGCCATTCCATTTCTTGACAATATAACCTTTCTTAATAGAGCATAAGGGACAAGGTGACAAGGAAAACATTCAGTTTCTGAGAAACATTCAAACAATTAATTTTTGGAATAAAAATGATTATGATTGACTAGGGATTTTGACCAGCATCCCTCAGCAAATTAGCTGCTAGTCTCCACATATTTGGAAAACACATACTTAAAACAAAATTTATTTTACCAATTGGATAACATTTTGCTTTGACAAATATTACTTGAGCTCCTATGAAACATTCAGTGTAGGTCATACAGAATATGAAGAAATCATTTCTGCCTACAGAGTAGAATAGGACAGAATAAAACAAATGAAAATGGATGGAATAAGATTAAAACAAAGACGCGTAGCAGGTCATAGGAAACTCTTCGTGATCTAGCACCCGCCCGCCTCAGCAGCACGTTTTTTTTCATCATCTCTTTTAAAACAAGTCTTCGTTAATATTTATGCTAATACATGCATGCGCTTATACAGGCACATTTTTTCTATTCCAGAAACATTGTCTACCTCTAATTTCCCCAAAACACCATGCCATATCACACTTCCATGCTTTTATGATACCATTCCCTCCCATTTAAAATCTCAACACATAACTTGGATGTCAGCATTTGGGGGAAGCCTCTCCTGATCACCCCTTCCCCCAGTGGAGCAATGCCTGCCCGTGTGGGATGCATATAATTATGTTTATTGTGCACTATGTTTACGCTAGCCTCTTCCACCAGAACATGAGCTGGTTGAGTAGAGAGATGGCATACAACGGGTTCAATATCAGCCACAGATTTCAAAAAATATCTGTCGACATGATTGGAATATCCAAAGCTACTTGAGATTAATACTCTAGATTGAGTTTTACAGGATTCATTGCATGGAAATATTTCAGTTCCTGTTATGGATTCTCTAGATGCGCTTTCTGAACTGCAGAAAGGGACGGAAGGACCCTTCCAAGTCCATCCTGGATGTTGGCGTAGAAGAAGCTATAAAATTCAGTGGATTTGATGAAAAGATGTTTCTGAAGCGAGGAGGAAAATACATATGGAGTAAGGCTGATCTGAAGCTGGACTGGTAGAGCAGAAAGTGGAATGAGACTTCAGCATACCAGTGGGGAAACTCCCAGAGTGACTGCCTTTGTCTACAGTACTATCCTGTTGGTATTTCCCAACGGCTGAAAACCTATTTCTGCTGCACATGACATCTGATTACCTGAACTCATAAATAACTTGAGTAGCGAATCCTGAGACAATGTAAAACCATTAACTTTACTGACTGGCTTATAACCTTGTTACTGAAACAGCACTTCTGTTTTTGAGTTTGATTTATCTAAAAAGAGAGAATACGCCCAGGGATAATGACCCAACCCACCAAAAAGCTTAGATAAGCCCCCTGTACACAGGACCTAAAATTTAGCTCAGTGATGCATTTGTAAGAAATAAGCTGTAGTGATATCTGTGGGGGCAATATTGAATTTGTATTTGATTTTTTAAGCAATGTTTGCTGTGACTTCTATATTTCCATTTTGAAGCTGTTTCCTGTTCTAGTTTTGTTCATTTGAGAGAGTAAATATTTTTGCTAAATATCCAGATACCAATTTTCACATCTGAGACATTACAAAGTGTCTGCCCCATTTATTTCTGCTGGTTGTAGTGCTTTTTCCTTTTTGCCTTTGCATCCTTGCAGTCTTGTACTTCTTACTGTGAAGTATAGAAATGGGCAACAGATGTTTCCAAGAACATGTGATCTGACAATCCTACCAATTTTCAAGAAGTCCCTAGAAGGAGGCAACACCTGGAAAGACGGCGTGGTGCAGCCAGCACACGGTGACTGTTCCCCAAATGCTGGCTACCTATGTGTGTGATACCTGTGTCGCTTTGTCTTCAAAAGCTCTGACCAAAAACAAGATACGCTTTCCATTTAATGATGCAATTGACGTGGGGGCAGTGGTTTCACTGCTTTGTTCACCTGTCATTTAGGTCACATGAGGCTGTCAAGCAAAGGAATCGGTGTGAAGTTGGGTAGCTGGTTGTCCCTACATCTCCGAGAAGGGACGGCACACTGGCTTGGCATAAGATATCCTAAAATCAGGCTGGAACCTTGGAAAAGGAAGAATGTGAGCGAGAGTAGGGAGGGTGCCTGGATTTCATGTCAGTGAAGCCATGGAACCATCTCAGATTTTTGAATGAACTTTGAATCAATTTAAATAAGGTACCATTTAGGTCAGCTTAGGAAGGATCAGCTCAGAGAAAGCAAGTATGAAGGAAAATGTCATGTAAACTAGGTCAGGGAACAAAACCCTCTCCCTGTGGAAGTATCCTACGCAGTTTGTTTGTGTAGCTTAGTATGTTGCCTAAAAAATAAAAATTTCTTATCATTGTTTCAAAAAAGCAAAATCATGGAAAATTATTGTTGCCCAAAAGGTCATTTTAATTCAGCTGCAATTTCAGTGTTCCTCGCTAGGTGGCATTTAAATTTTGCCTGATGTCATTAAGCACCATCCAGAAATTCTGCTTCATAATCTATTTTCAAGACTTGATGATTGTTGAAAGTTTTGTTCCCTTGTTGGTGATGAGTTGTGATCCTCTGGAGGAAGAGAAGAGGCATTCTGGTTTGGGGAGTTTTCAGCATTTTTGTGCTAGTTTTTCCTCATCTTCGTGGATTTATTTACCTTTCATCTTTGATGTTCAAATACCCCTTCAGATGGGGTATTTGTGTGAGTGCCCTTTCTGTTTATGTTATGTTATTCATTTCTGTTTCTTAGTTTTCCTTCTAACAGTCAGGTCCCTCTGCTGCAGGTCTGCTGGATGTGCTGGAGATCCACTTCAGACCCTGTTTGTCTGAGTATCACCAGCAGATGCTACAGAACAGCAAAGATTACTGCCTGCTCCTTCCTTTGGAAGCTTCATCCCAGAGGGGTACCGGCAAGATGCCAGCCAGAGCTCTCCTGTATGAGGTGTCTCCCAGTCAGAAGGCATAGGGGTCAGGGACCCACTTGAGGAGGCAGTCTGTCCCTTAGCAGAGCTCGAGTGCTCTGCTGGGAGAGCCACTGCTCTCCTCAGAGCCAGCAGGCAGGAACTTTTAAGTCTGCTGAAGCTGTGCCCACAGCCACCTCTTCCCCAAGGTGCTCTGTCCCAGGGAGATGGAAGTTTTATCTATAAGCTGGTGATGGGGCTGCTGCCTTTATTTCCGAGATGTCCTGCCCAGAGAGTAGAAACCTAGAGAGGAAGCCTGGCTAGAGTGGCTTTGCTATGCTGTGGTGGGCTCTGACCAGTTTAGACTTCCCAGTGGCTTTGTTTAAACTGCCTACTCAAGCCTCAGTAATGGTGGACGCCCCTCCCTGTAGCAAGCTCCAGCATCCCAGGTGGATTCCAGACTGCTGTGCTGGCAGCGAGAATTTCAAGTCAGGGAATCCTAGCTTGCTGGGTGCTGTGCGGGTGGAATCCGCTGAGCGAGGTAACTTGGCTCCCTGGCTTCAGCCTCTTTTCCAGGGGAGTGAACGATTCTGTGTCGCTGGCATTCCAGGTGCGACTGGGGTATGAAAAAATAACTCCTGCAGCTGGCTCACTATCTGCCCAAAGGGCCACAGAGTTTTGTGCCTGAAACTCAGCCCCTGGTGGTTTCAACCCAAGGGAATCTCCTGGTCTGCAGGTTGGGAAGACCATGGGAAAAGCATGGTGTCTGGGCTGGAAAGCACTGTTCCTCACAGCACAGTCCCTCATGGCTTCCCTTGGTTATGGGAGGGAGTTCCCTGACCCCTTGTGCTTCCCGGGTGAGGCGATGCCCCACCCTGCTTCTGCTCACCCTCCGTGGGCTGCACTGACAAGCAGTCCCAGCAAGATGAGCCAGGTACCTCAGTGGGAAATGCAGAAACCACTCGCCTTCTGAGTTGGTCTTCCTGGGAGCTGCAGACGGGAGCTGTTCCTATTTGGCCATCTTGAGAGCCCTGCAGGTCAGGTTTAATTACATGAAAATGCCCCGTGTATGCTTAGGATAACTACAGCAAACGCAATGCCACTAAAATGGACTTGAAAGATCAGAAAGATTGTTACAATATTTATTTTATAATTTTTTTTTTTTTTGAGACGGAGTTTCGCTCTTGTTACCCAGGCTGGAGTGCAATGGCGCGATCTCGGCTCACCGCAACCTCCACCTCCTGGGTTCAGGCAATTCTCCTGCCTCAGCCTCCTGAGTAGCTGGGATTACAGGCACGCGCCACCATGCTCAGCTAATTTTTTGTATTTTTAGTAGAGACGGGGTTTCACCATGTTGACCAGGATGGTCTCGATCTCTCGACTTCGTGATCCACCCACCTCGGCCTCCCAAAGTGCTGGGATTACAGGCTTGAGCCACCGCACCCGGCCTATTTTATAATTCTTAAAAAAATACACATTTTGAGGATATTTGAAAACACAGTAAAACAAAATGAAGAAAATTAAAATTACCCATAATTGTATCACATAGAGGTAACCCCTAATTTAGCTCATTTCTGTCCAGTCATATATATTGCTTAATAGAATTGCATTCATACACAATAATTTTATTTTTCACATAATATCTTCTGAAGGTTCTTAAAGTCATTAGCCTTTTATACTTTAATGAGAACAGCCATTCTTAACAATTCACACTAATAAATGAGAAACCATTCAATGACATTAAAAAGCCAGAGTTCATTTGAGAAAAACCATTGGATTTGTTTTTTGAGGTGTTTATATATTTGTTTATGTATGTGAGTGGTATTCTATTAATTTTGGTAATATTCTCTCTCAACACAGACACACACACACACACACAAAGCTTCTCTGTGCAAGTTCATTATTGCAGAATCTGGAAAACTGCCCAAGAGTTGTTTATTTTTTAAATTCAAGGCTGCCTCAACTTGTTCCTGATACCCTCTCAGCAACACAGTTGAATAGACTGACCTTTATCAGTTCTCTTCCTGGGTTATACTCAGCTTTCAGAGAACTTGCCCACATGAGTAGATGTCAGAAAACCTGTGTGTGTGTGTGTGTGTGTGTGTGTGTGTGTGTAGTTGGTGCTATCTGCTTTTGTGAAGAATACCTCATTTTTCATTAAATCGTCACTCAGATATCACTTTTTCCAGGAAGCCTAGCAGACAGCAGGTATTCAAATGCTGATTGAGTCAAACTGACCTGAATTAGTCAGCTCAGGCTGCCATAACAAAATACCATATCCCATGTGGCAGAAACAACAGACATGCATTTCTCTGGAGGCTGGAAGTCCAAGATCAAGGTGCCATCTGGTTCAGTTCCTGGTGAGGCTTCTCTCCCTGGCCTGCAGATGGCTGCCTTGTCCCTGTGTCCTCATGTGGTGGAGAGAGAGATCTCTCTCCTTTTATAAGGCCACCATCCTTTTGCATAAGGACTTCATTTGAACTTAACTACCTGCTAAAGACCAGATATAGTCACATTGGGGATCAGAGCTTTGACGTGTGAATTTTGCAAGGAGACAAGTCGGTTCATAGCATGATCCATCACTGAAACAGTAAGATGCAATATACCTAATATATTTGACTTGACTTTGTCTGATGTCATTTAATAAGGTCACTTCTATTGAAATGGGCAATGTGTGAGCAGTATGACTTGGTGACACCTGGAAGTTTCTAGTGCTTTAAATATTGCCCCCATTATCTGTGACAGGGCCTGAAATACCTTCATTATGATTAAACATGTAGTTTCTCCACTGATTTTTCTCTAAAACTGAGGGAGTTTGGGAAAGTGGCAGACATTAATCTTGTTCTTATCAAGTTGTCATGGGGATGTGTCAGCCCCACTTTTCTCCCAGGTATAAGCCAGGCCGAGGGAAAAGAAGGGAACAGAGAGTAAACCTATGCTATTTCCTACCTATTTGGCTACCATAACCTGGTGACGCCTGGCAAGATCCTTGCAGGTGAAAGGTTTAATTCAGGAACAGCTTGGTGCATATCTACCACGTGGTCAGACCTGTGCCAGACGCTATGGGGAATATCTGAGAAGAGGAGTTAGGGTTTTCACCTTTGAGAAACTTACAAATGTTAGGACAAGAGTTAGACACACAAGAGAGTTAAACAGCTGAGTAAGAAGGCAAAGCAGTGATAGAAAAGGCACAGGTTGTAGAGACAGCCTGGCTTGAGCTGTAATAATCATGTTTGAATAAGGGTGGGATATTTAGGTTCACAGAGGCCCAGTTTCCTGATCAGCAAAATGAGGGATCAATGCAAAGATTACAGTAAGGACTTGAGTTAATTATGCAAACAGCCCACGGCAGCCTCTGAAAACCAGTAACAGTTACCGATGAGTTCACATTGTGTGAAAGCTATCCTTCCTAATCTGATGCAATTTAGGACAAAATAGATAAAACCTCATGCCACGGTTTGAAGTCCAGATAATTATCATGAGCAAGAGAGGACATTTGGGGTTTGGGGAAGAACACCTGCCAGAACAGGAGGCTTAAGATGACAGTCCTTTGGTTAACTTACTCATTGAGTACGCACCTGTGATGTATCAAGTTTTATAGCACCCACTAAAAACACAAAAATAAACATGACACTGTTTTGTTGCCAAGGTGCTCAAAGCTTGTGGAAAAGGCAATCTTGTAAACGAATAGGTGAAATAAATGTTGAAGGTTAGTAGAAGTAGCAACAAAGTTTTCACACTCCAAAAACACATGGCAGACTCCGGCCTCCCATTCTACAGCTTAATGGGAATAGTGAGATGAGCTCCTCCCAGTGCTCAGATCTGACAACATAACCTAAAAATGCTGTGACTACTCAGCCACAAAAGAGAATGAATTAATGGCATTCGCAGCAACTTGAACAGGACTGGAGACTGTTATTCTAAGGAAAGTAACTCAGGAATGGAAAACCAAACATTGTATGTATCACACTTAAGTAGGAGCTAAGCTATGAGGATGTAAAGGCGTAAGAATGACACAGTGGACTTGGGAACTCAGCGGGGAGGGGTGGGATGTGGGTGAGGGATAAAAGACTAGGAGTTGGGTGCAGTGTATACTGCTTGGGTGGTAAGTGCACCGAAGTTTCACAAATGACTACTAAAGAATTTACTCATGTGGCCAGGAGCTGTGGCTCACGCCTATAATCCCAGCACTCTGGGAGGCCGAGGCGGGTGGATCACGAGGTCAGGAGATGGAGACCATCCTGGCCAACATGATGAAACGCTGTCTCTACTAAAAATACAAAAGTTAGGCAGGTGTGGTGGTGGGCACCTGTAATCCCAGCTACTCTGGAGACTCAGGCAGGAGAATTGCTTGAACCCGGGGGACAGAGGTTGCAGTGAGCTGAGATCACACCACTACGCTTCAGCCTGGAGACAGATTGAGACTCTTTAAAAACAAAAAAAAATTTACTCATATAACCAAACACCACCACCTGTTCCCAATAACTTATGGAAACAAAAAACACCTCAAAATAACCCTG